TGATTAATATTATTACAGATGGAGATCCTAAGACAAAGACTGCATGTTTAAATGCAGGTATGGATGATCTTTTAGTAAAACCAATAAAGAAGAAATAATTGTCATAGTATTTGTGATTTACACAACTTATATTTTATTAATTTCTGCAACATTTAATATTTAAATTGAAAAGGTTTTTGTAATAAAATTAAAAAGAAAACAATATAATAATTGCTAATATTGGAATGAATTATAATAAATCACCAAAATGGACAGCATCCCAAATAAGCTTAAGCTATGTTTTCACGATTAGTTGCTTAAAGTATGAGTTGATTGACCTGATTCTGGGTTGACAACACTTAATGTTCTTTAAAATCTCTTACTTATAATTTTTTCTTACTTCTTTCAATAACTTCTAAACATTTCTAATTTTATAAATCATCTGGTATTTCTCTCTCTTCATCAACAAATTCAAAATATATTTCCTTTTCTCTTCCACTTTCCTTTCTTTTTAAAGTTTATTAATGTTTTCCATCATCAATTATGCTGCCCCTTCTTTTTGCTTCAGGAATAGCTTAAATTAAACTCTTTCCCTAATTCAAATCTTTATCATTAAGTTAATTTATCATTTATTATGGAATTTGTTTGTGTAAATCTACATTTCTAGCCTCTTTTTTAGGTTTGTGATCTTATGCATTCAAAAGTCTCGATGTAAGTAATGGATAATATACAAATGAATCCAATAGAGATCTAAACTATATAATTAATAATACTCTTTATTTTCCCTTAATGCTCTCATAACAACATTACAAGTATGTCTATTAAATAATAAAATTAAGATGTATTACCAAAACAATCTCCAAAATCAATATATACAATTTTACCAGTAAGTCTTTATAACATAAAATTTGATGGATGTCTATCACCTAATCCTAATATATATCCAACCATTGATATTGTAGCCAAAGATCTGGTATAATTAATTCTTCTTTCAAACCAAACTTGAGAATTTGGTGATTTTATCCACAACACTTTTTATAAATCTTCTCCTCTTGTATTTTTTAATATATGTCTTTCAATCTCAACTTTGTTAGGCAAAGGAAAGTTCTGATACTGAGCACAGAACGATTCCATTAAAGTACCTTCTGCATTAAGTCTGATAGCATATTTATCTCTATACTCTCTAACTAATTATTACAAAGTATCACAATTTTATACCCACCCTAATAATCCAGTATTATGAGATAAAGGTATGACTGAATATATTTGTAATAGTAAGATCTTTCCTTTCTGTTTCTGTATCATTAGTAAGTAAACGATATACTAGAGAAAATAATTGCATCACTCTTTCATCTTCTCTTAAATCTTCATTGTCCTTTTAATAAGAAATGATACTCTTTTGAATCATTTCCAAACATCTTAACTTATCTTGGATGTTATTTACTTGATAAAATCTCTAATCTAGGTGCAAAACCATTGATTGTCATTAATTTTTTATTAGATTTATATAATCCAGAAATCCTTATTTCACAATTTTGGTGAAACATTTTCAAGATGAACTTTCTTCTTTTTTTCTAGACTTTATGATAAATTCTTGTATATATATCAAATGCACACACAAACAAACTTAATCTTCTGTTCTCAAATGTCTTTGTTACCAAGCTTCAGCTTCAAATATTTCTTATCCATATGTTTAATGAAATTGGATTTCACTTAAACTTTCAAGTTTAACTCTCATATTATCATGTAAACCTCTTAGAATTCTCTCTAAATGGGTTTTATTTTTATCATATGAAAAAGATGTCCATGCTTCTTAAATACCTTCTCTCCATGCTTCTTTTAATAATATAGCAGTACGATTTAGTTCTTCACTAATTATTAAGGCTCCATTAACCAGAATTGGAGAATGTTTTTTCATATCATCTAATATCTTTAAGACTTATAATCTTTTGATTTACAAGCAACAGTAATGGATAAATAAGAGCTTATGGATGTATACGACTGATATGTATTAATAAATCTTATAATAATTATTAAATTATCGGATTTTAAATTTGGATTCTTGCTAGAATTTATGGAATAACATCAATACAATTTATAATATCTATTTATTTATAATTTTATCTAAATTCATCAGAAATAGTAGCTTCCATTCCATATTTAAATATTAAAGATAAGATTTGTAAAGTATCTTATAAAATATAATTTACCTTTTTTGATTTCTCTACTTCTTAAAGATATTGATTTCAATAATCCTTTAACTGCTCAAATACATGTGCATTCATAGATTATCTATTTTCTTATTATTCAATAACTTCAAAATTACATAAACCATAATAATGCCATGCCTTTGCATAAGTTGAATTATATTATAAAGATACATCAAATTATTTAGTTATATATAAAGTAAAAAAAGTCTTTGCTTTTAATTTAGAATCAATTGAACTGATTTGTTCCTAATTTGTGAAATATTCTCTGAACTAATCTAAAATTTAGATTTCATGTTTAGCATGTACATATTCAAATTACATATTGAAAATGTGAAGAGTTACAGGTAAAGGAGCTTAACCTTAATTCTGAAATTATTCCTTTAATATTTCAATAGTAGATTTGCAAAGAACCATTTTTTATCTCTTTAAACATAATTTAGCAAATTTAATCCAAATGTCAAATCATGTACTTTAGGTAAATATAATTATCTTGTTGAAAGTAAACGATACCAAACATCTATATCCTTAGGTGCACCACTTAATCTATCATGCCAAATATCTTTTAATTTTTTCTTACGAATTTCTAATTCATCCAATAATTTAATATAAGAATATTCACCTACATTCTCTTAGGCTGCTTTTTAATTTTAATACTCCATCTTAAGCTCTATCATATGATTCTTATAATAATCCTGTTGCTAAACCATCCAATCTCTCTCTGCTTTTCCTTACTTATATTTTTGCAATTATCCTTTAGATATATATACAGCTGCTTTCCAAAATGGTTTATCTGATTCTTCAGCATTGACTTATTCATTATATGTGGCCAATTTATCCCATTATCCTAAATGCATAGCAGCATTTGCAGTTCAATGAGCAATTTCCTTTTATTTTGCATCTTCATTACTTCTAAATATTTCCTCTACTTGACTAATCAATGTTTACCATTGCATTAATGCATTTAAACATCTCATTTTGGGAACAACTAATTTTATAGCTAAATCCATTTTTTTAATCATTTTCATATTTTAATTATTATTATCTATATTCTTATAAGGCTTCATCCCATTTTTTTAATCTCTCATAATCTATATTTTAGACTTAAATTTTTAAAGATTATTTAGCATAAGTTAATAAACCATTAACTGATTCTTGCAATCCCAAATTTGTATATAGAGATATTAATGATTAAATTGCTTTTAAATTGGCAGTCTCAAATTCATGTTCTCTATAATAAAGAGCTTTAGCATAAGCCATTCATTTTTCAGCTAATTCTCCTAAAGAACTAATATCAATTTATAATCTTTCCTTATCATGTTACATAAATTCTGCTAAATTTAAAATGGTTTATGAAATCTAAAGAGGTATATTTTCTGCCTTAATAATTCTTACTAAATGTTGAACAATTAATTCTTTATGTTTGTCATTTAGGAAATACCATGCTAAATCGAATGCAATATTAAATAATTCATATGCCAATGTCTAATACATTTCAGCTATTGATGAACATGGATTCAAAACAAGAAAACGAGATAACTTTAATAATTCTACACTTGTATTACGCATCCATTCTTACCATTCTTCTTTTAATTTTCTTTGTTCTGTATCAAATTTAACCACTAAATCATCAGGCTCTATCTTTTTATACATTGGTTCATTAGGTTCAATTGAATAATATCAAGCAATCTAAGATGGAAATAATTACTCAATAGCTTTACAATCTTCATCTAATAGATTATTCAAATCTTCTAATCAAAAATATTTCAATTAATTTTTAATATTATTAGTGATGTATCTTATATTTTTGTACTTATAAATGAATCATAGGTAAATAAACAAGCATAAGATTCTTATTTTATAAGATTAAATTAAAAATACAATTTAACAATATTTGATGCATTTCTAATTATTATTATGTTTTAGCACTCAATTCAACTAAATTTAATAATGAATTAACAATTAATGATAAATATTAAACTGTTGTTAGACATTTTCTAGATAAAGACACAAGTAAATTTATTATATCTTTTCTAACTTCTAATAAAACACTTAAACTTCTTTACTCAATAATTTACACATAAATGGAATAAAAATATGCAATTGAGAATCAAGTAAATTCTCTAATAATATATATATCTTTATTCCTTTATGAAATAATTCTTTTTCTTCTTCAAATTAACTGATTTCTTAATTTATTAATCTAACTAATGGCTATTTACTACTTTTTATCAATGTTTCCATTCTTTCTAAACTAATTAAAACTAATTTTGATGATTCTTATCCCTAACAAAATAACATTACACATGCAATGACTTAATCAATATATTAGGGATTAAATTAAATTCCACATGAATGTATTACTTTTTACAAAGATGTTAATACTTTCTCTCTCATTTCTTCATTCCTTTATAATAAACGAGCAAACACAGGTATTAAATAATTTAAATAACTTTCTGTTTTTGCTTTAAGTGTACCAATTATCCACATTATAGTTTTAAGTGCTAATTCATGATTATTAGATAAAGATGAGTCTAATAGAATTTGCAATAATGTCTTTAGAGTTACTTTTGAATAATAATCAATAACATTTAATTAAATAACAGGAAACTATTACAATAATTCTTCAATATCTTATGAATTTATAGCTTAATGATAATGAGATTGAGCATCCAAT